GGGGTATTTGACAAAACCGTGATTTCTATTTTCCTCATGCTTATCACTTTCATCGTTGTCATCCTGTTCACTATCATTGTCCTCTGGAATTTCGATCTCCTTGACCTGTTTATCCGGACCTCTGAATCTTCTCCCTATTTTGATAATGCCAATTGGTTTCTTTGTCTTCTTCTTCTTCTTCTCTTTGATGATGAGTGCCTTCAGTTCTTCTTACCCCTTGGCTAAGCTTAGGAACATATCTTGGAACTGAGCATTCTGAGCCCGAAGATCTTTCACTATTTGTTCGAGAGCCATTTCTGCTAAAATAAACAGCAAGGAGATGAGAAACCTGTCTTGGAAACTTGTTATGCAATTACATGGTATGTAGATGCGTAAGAAATATTTTCAAGGATCTTTATGGAATCTAGTTTGAAACATTAGAAATTGAATTTAGTTGTAACTTTGTCTGAAGAACTTTGAGTTTTCATCTTTGAACGTCCTTCTATAAGAATCAAGCTCACCATATCAAGTGGGTCTTAGCCTCTCACTCAAGAGAACATACTTTGATCTTTGACGGTATCTGGTTATAGGAAAATAAATCCTCTTTCCCCTTGCTTGCAATTTGGCTTATGATAATCCTGCACCAAAGGTCCCTAAGATACTTGAAATGGTTAGTAAAAATGCCATGTCATGATGTTATGATGCTATGATATTATGTTCATGTTTAAATAAGTATCAAACACAAACAAATCACACAAGAGCCTTAGGTTTAAAGGCTTGCCTGAGGTCCATAGGAAAGTACCCTTTTCTATTGAAGTTAAGTTGGCTCAACTTGTCCTAAAATAGTAATCGGGTTCTAGAACCTCATATCACTGATCTTTCTCACAGGTTTTATTTTAGCACAACAACTGGCTTGCCACCAAAACATCCCGCGAGTCGAATCTCAATGAGTGTAGCATTGAGTATCAACAAACCTTGGACTGCACCAAAGTCGGCCATCTCATTACTTTATAATGGCCAAGATGGGTCAATTAAGGTTCTAAAAGTAAGTTAGTGCTAATGACACCACACAAAAGCCTAATGTTATCCTTGACTAACTCAAGGAACATTAGTATAAACCAAAGTGTCGCACTAACCGTAGCCATCACATCAACCATATCGGTCTATGCCGTACACTTTTCATGATCTATTGCAACTTACCTAAGCATCCCTAGATCCGCGTGTAGGATCTTTCAAATAATAAACCCAAGAAAGCCCTTAAAGTTGAAGCAGACAAAGCATACAATTTAAGAAAGTAAAGTGATCTAAAACTTTTAAGGTAACCCGTCTTTTAAAATTTTCCCCAGCAGAGCCGCCAATTCTTTAATACAGTGGGAGAATTGACTTGTTTAGCATTTTATCGCAAATTTTGCGGATAGCAAGAGTCGCCCCCGACTTTTCTTTTATCCAATAAGGAAAGGTGAAAAGAACAGGAAAGACCTTTGATAGTTTTTGAGTTCGGGGGGTAAGTTATGAAAAGTTAAGGCGTTAGCGCCCTTTTCATCCGTAGTTATCTACGGGCTCTTAATTTCTTAGCTCACTTTTGAAAACTTACTTTGTGTGTGTGTGTTTGATTTGTTTGAAAATATTTTTGAAAAGCCAAAGTACGACCAACTTTGTAATGATTCTTGTATCAGTCCTCAAGAATGCATACAAAGTGTGATTTGAAAAAAAAATTATTTCAGAAAAGAGTTTTGAGAAATAAAACTGTTGAGTCTTACCCACTAAAGGTCGTTCTTGTTATTTTCCTTCTCCTTTAGAGATAGTGATATACATACCATTAGTTGGTAGGTAGACCTATCTATTGGATGTAAAAGGACAAGCGTAGGGTCGTCGTATGGTCATAGAAATCAACTTGTAAGGATACTTTAACAATTCGAAGAGAATGTCATCATATTATTTGTAGGCAACAAGGGACTAGATCATTTTGTAGGCAACTCGAATGGTCATCGAGGGATTATGATCTTTATTAGAAAGGGAACATGATGATATTGTTTAACCGAGGGTCTTTTCTAAAGTATTCCTGTTTTCGTGGGACATGACCATTAGTATCGCAAGGCAACTAAGAGAGGTTACCCTAGAGGTGAAGTGTGCGAAGTGTATTGGTTTTAGTTATGTTATCTTGAAAATTAAATTTATCTATGTTTGATTTTATTCTTATCATAAAAGCCTATTTACTAGCAGTTATATATATACAAACATATAAAGGCAAAAGATAAAGTGAGAATGTAAATCTATGCTATTACAGGGCATTGGTTGAGAAATTTCTGATGAAGCATGTGAAAGTTATGCTTGGTCAAAGTTCAATTGACTTCTCCTTAAGAAAAGTCCACAAAACCCTAATTTAGCAACTTTTTACTTTTGAGCAATCTTTAGTCAATATTAATGAATCATGATCAAGCCTTGATCAAATGATGATCGTGAGTTCAAAATATTGACGTTGACCAAAAATCTTGAAGTTTGACTGTATGTTGACCATAATTGACATTTTATCCAATATAGTTAATTTTCACTCATCTGAGCAATTGACTGAGCAAATTTATGATGCAAGGCTTGAAACTTGACATAAGGATTCTTTAAAGCATATGAGGAACCATGAAACTCACTCGAGGCATTAGAAGCTCAATTTTCTTCGAGAAAACCAAAACCCTATTTGTAGGCTACTGCATAGGAGTAGAGTTCATTTAATCAACTCTTGAGTAGTCTTGAGTACTTTAGAACCCTAGAAGCATGAGGAGGTGTCTTGAATCAATTGTCTTAAAAATGGGAGGGAAAATTTTGGGGTACAATAGAGGCCTTCTAAATCAAGCCATACTTGCTCGTATTCTTCATTCTTTTGGGTGAGAAGCCTTTCTACGATCATCATTTTAATGCATTCCCCTACCTCCAATTCCTGGCTATCAGAGTCTGGTGGTGAGATACTTTATTTTCTCTTCTTGACCTAAAGAAGCTTACGCTAAACTTTGGATTTGAGCCCTTATATCTTCTTTCATCACCTTTTTATCCTGTATTTCCTTTTCATACCATCTATTTAATATCCCGACTTCGCTAGCTGCATCCTCCAACCTTTGGTTGTGGGAATCTAAGTTGAAAGTATCACTTAACAACCCTTCAGTCGAATGCTTCCGCTTAAGACTCTCCTTCTCAAATGCCTCCCAATCTCTCTGAATATGTTGGTCTTTTGATTCAAGTATGCGTTGCATTTTTATTTTCTCTTTAGTTAAGTTATGGAGGTTGAGCTCCAATTCTTCTTTCTCCCTCTGAGTTTGTTTCAAGGTATTCTTCAATTCATCTATTTCTTCTAAGGACATAGGCAGAGAATATGGGACATATGGCTTGTACTTAGGATCTACGTCAAATGGTAACTTAACAACTCGTACCCTATCCAAAACCCATAGAGTGTAAGGTTCTTTTTCCACAACATTCTTCCTTTTAGCATTCCTTTTATTAACCATATTCCAAGCCCGGATAATCTTATTAAGAAAATCTTGGGCGCTTTTGCTCATGTCATGAACGATCAATTGTTGGAGTTATTCATCTAAGGGTTTATCTTCCAAAGGATACCCTAGTTGTCGTAGGGCAAATGTATGGTTGTAATTGATAAAACCTCATGATCCGATCAATGAAATATTAAGAAAGTCTCCACAACTATAGATGATATCTCCAATGTCTAGCTTCCTTGCGTACCATAATACAAAATTAGCAGTAAGGATCCTTAATTTTTGAGGCCAGTCATATCTTGTCAGATTTGGAATCATGTAGTCTTCTTTGTAGAGGTGAGTCATAAACCAATAATACAACAGTGGGATGCAATAGTTTAGAGTACTGTCATACCCCAAATTTTCCCGTCCTTTATTTCTACGTTCAAAAAATATTTTCAAAATGTTAGTTTTATAATATTATTTTATTTTTATAAATATTCTCTTCCCAACCTATTTAAAAATATAATAATTTATATCAAATTATTTGTATTTTTAAAATAGAAAATATCTACACACCTTTCATATACTTTCAAATTCAGTTTATTTACAAATCAGTAACATATCACAATTGGTAAAGAATGAAGCTTGCAATCTTAAGGTCACGGGTTTGAATCTCTTGTGCAACACTTTCAACATTTTCTTTTTTTATTTATATTTTGTCAGTAATTTTATTTCCTTTTTTTGGAAATCAAACTTTGGGCTTTCTTTTGGGCTTTTGGATAACTTAGTCTCTAAGTCTCTATTAACCTAATTCACTCTATAAATAGGACTATTGTTGTCCTAAGATTTTCATCCACAGATCAACAATCCACAAATTTCATAATTCATCCACATATTACCATTCTTTTTCTTCTTTTTTTTGGTTTTATTCTAGAGTTGTTGTCTATATCAGACAATAATTATTCTTGGCTGATGATTACATATGAGCCCCTTATTTTTATTTTTATTTTGTTAAACCAAATGATGAACATATATGATGGTTTCTTATTTTAATCTATATTTCAATTTTCAACTTTCAAAAATATTGTTTCTACATAAAACTTGTTTGTTACTTTTTATTCACCACATAATAGTATTGTTTTATAGTGATTCTTGATAATTATATGTTCTTATTAATTTTTAGTGGCCAATTTTCATTCTCATCAAAACCACAACAAATATCTCTTCCACGTTACTGTTGCTGCAAAAGTATAGAATAAATTTTTAGTCAAACACTAACTATTTACAATCAATAAACCATCTCTTTCCTTCGACAACCTTTACATTCAAATCCAACCAAAAAGCCAAAGTTATCATAAACCATAAAATATCAGATACACCTACAACCAGACTCTGTAACCAGTCAAACCAATAATATGATGCATCCTTCATAACTCCTAAAACTGTCACACACAAAAATCATAATCAAAACAAAGAGTTTCAATTTCAATTTCCATAATTCACAATGCATTGATATAGTTTCCAATTTATTTTTGCAGACATTAGAAAGAAAGATGAAACATGAACAGAGGTATGAAGGAGTCTAAATCTGAAACTGACGTCCAACCAGTCTACGCTTCCCTCTACGCCCATGCGATTACCATCATCATTGTCCACGAGCTTGCCGCTTCAGCAATCGCAGATCACCTCCGCAAAAAGCATCACATTATCGTCAGAGCCCATGCCTTCACTCTCTCCATAGCCACTCCCTCCGTATATCCATCATAGCCACTGATGAGTTTCCTTTAATCCTAATATCATAAGTCTCTTTGATTTGTTGATTAAATTCGGGCCCAAACGTGAGGGGGTAAGCTTTTGTATAGATTAGTAAAATATGGGGGTTTAGTTAGAAGGAGGCAAGTCCATATGTTGGACTTGGCCCAAAAGCGTAAGGGGGGTGGAATTTTTAGTTGGCTTAGCAAGAACATCCAGAATAAGGGTGTGGATATCATGGGCTTAGGCCCAAACAATATGGAGTTCGCTTAGGCAACATACAGGAGAGGACACAATATTATCATGGGCATGTGAATTAAGAATGTTTGATGATGATCTGAAGGTGGTGGGTGGGATGGAGTGCATGATAAAGTTTATAGGCATGTGGATACTGGACCAAGGAACATTTATAAAAATGGATTGTTGGGCTGAGAGCCCATTTTTTCTTTTCTTTCTCTCTCTATCCCATTCTATCACCCAACAACAACTTTAGAGAGAGAAGCTCTGGCTTCTCTATAGATTTGTTGTCCACATAAAATCGCTTTGGCCGTGCCGGCCACCACGAGTCAACCCAAAGCCGCCGTAAACCCCAGGTTTCCGATTGAAGTTCAACCGGAACCTTCAAACCTTCAACCAACCCTAAGAACCCTAGCCCTTGAGCAACCCAGAAACATACACTTCTTAGAACCCTACCTATCCAGCGAAGAACCCTAACCCTTGTATCAACCTAGAAACCCAAACTTCTTAGAACCCTAACCCTCCAACAAAGAACCCTAACCCTGGATGAAAAACCCTAGAACTTCAAAAACATACACCAATCGTCCCCAAATCTAACAACAATGTAAATTAAAGCTAAGTTTGACGCTTAACTTGCTTGTGGTGATTCTTCTTGTACTTTGAGTTCCTCTTTCTGATTCCCTCTCTCCTTCTTTACCTACAGGTGTGATGGCGCACGAAGGCTTGAAGTACAAATCTATGGTTTCAGAAATTGAAACCCAGATCTCAAGGAGGCGATTGATTTATGGATTCTGCTTCTATGATGCTTCTTCCCTCCAAATTTCCTCCGTCCCCTTACTAGGTTTAGATTTTAGATAAATTAGGAAGGTATTTTATGACTGTCGTTACTTTTGTAACCTGTTAGGAATTAGGGAATTTGATTATGTTGTTATTTATTCGGTTCAGTTTTTAGATGATTTCGTTTGAGATTAGTCTTCTATAATCTGTATTTAGACTTATATTTGTATATGTTCATCTTAACGAATAAAAATGAACAATTATTTCCCAGATTTGATTTGATTCCTTAAAGATTTTGTTTTGTTTTAGCTCCAAGAAGCGTTTTTTCAGATCTGAACAATGTGTGTTTTGATTGGGCTTAGGCTTTGAAATGGTGAAGGGATAGATTATTGAACGATTCGGGTTGACAGTTTAATTTTGGCTTTTCTTAGTCGATGTTTTCAAATAATAAAATAAACATAATTTTAATTAAGCACCTAAAAGTAACGTTAATAATAATTATTTTAATAATGTTAGCAATAATTATGTAAAAACAAATATAGTTTCTCAAAAACCTAAGACATGCCAATTTGTTCAATCATTGGCACTTAAAAAAACGAAATGCTTATGGGCCTCCCTGATTAAAACATACACCCCCTTAACCTTATTTAAAACAGACCTCATTACTTTAGTGGGCCGGTCCTATTAATCAATAAACCCCTTATGTAGTCAGCATACCACCCCTTCTATAGAATTCTAAACGGGCTAATATACCTTAACAAATACACCCCTCTTTGCAAGAGAACCAGAATGGGTCATTCTGATTTAGAAAGGCCCAAGAATTCTCAAATAGTGTAAACTCTCCTTCAAAATTTGAAATGGGCTTAAAACAAGGTCAAAATGAGCTAAGAAGTCTCAAGCATATACACCTCCTCTCTAAAAACTTAATGGACCATCAATTTTACATGGGATTTCCTGATTTAATAAGGGATAATAAAAGATTAGAAATAGTAGGGAAAATTTGGGGTATGACAGAAACCGATCATGCATTCCACCTTATTCGACCAGGCAAGAAGAGTCAAAATGTGTTTCAACCTGGAAAAATGTACCTTCGGCATTCGAGCGGGAAAGTTCCATGACTTCAACTTAAAAGAATGAGAAATAAAAGCCAACCTTGACAAATGCCGAGCATTCTCTGAGCTTCCAACGTCGAACTCAAAAAAGTCAATCCAGATCCTAAACAGAATGCTCACCTCGTTATCCCATTTTGTGGCAAAATCTGCCCAGCACGCGTTGCCCTTTCTCAAACTCTTCCACAAAGAGGTCGCTTTTGAGTGGACCAAGGAATATGAACGTGCCCCCCTCCATCTCAAACGGGAATTATCTCAACCGTCGGTCCTTTCAAGGCCAAATAAGGAAGAAACTCTCTACCTCTATCTGGTCGTGGCTTCCGAGGCCGTTAGCGCCGATCTCATTAGGAAGACTGCCGAGGGGAAGAATCCCACCTACTTTATGAGCAAGGCCCTACAAGGCACTGAAGCAAGATACCAACAAATTGAGAAAGTATCCTTGGCGCTCATCAATGCAACAAGGAGGCTGAGGCACTACTTTCTGGCCCACACAATTGTTATCCGAATAGAGCAACCAATAAAATAGTTACTCGGTCGACCTGACATGGTGGGCAGGATGCTCAAATGGTCATTGGAGCTCTCTAAGTTTGACATCAAATATGAGATCAGAAAATCTCTTAAAGCACAAGTCTTGGCCGACTTCGTAGCATAAATGACTTCCTTAACCTCCATAAGTGGTGCACACAAGTGGACCATATTCGTGGACAGAGCTTCTAATTCCACCAGAACCGAAGCATGTATCGTGCTAGAGAACGAGGAAGGGATATTGGTTGAGGTATCCCTTGTGTTGTACCCCAAAATTTGCCTTCGCATTTTTCCTCAAGAAATCTCAGCTTCAAACATTTCCTGACTTTTCAAACTGGCTCAAGAATCGGACAAACGGACTTTTCTTGACAGTCAAGCAGAATTAGGGTTTTACTGATTTTCAGAGCTCTGAATTGTTTCATACAGTGGGCTTAGGGTTTAGTTGATTTTTGGTTCAATTTTGATCAAGCGAGCGTGATTTGGCATTTAATCAGGAATTAGGGTTTTATGGGTATTTCTCAGAAGAATTTAAATTCCACAGCACTTTGCGGTTTATTTCAAGATTCGGATTAAAATTCGCGTTATCTTGATTTAATCAGCAAAAGAGACAGTGGTGTAAATTCAGTTTGTTTGGGCCAATCAAAGAAGGTGTGCAGTTTGGATTTACAGTGCTTGCAAAGAATCAGTGTTTATGACAAATCAGTAAGAGGAGGCAATTGGTTTGAATTCATCAGTCAAAAGATATGTGCAGTATTGGATTCACAGTGTTTATGCGTTTGATCAGTCCATTTGGGTTAATTGCTGCTTTGCTTTGGATGTTGAATAAGACAGGATTAATTGATCTATGTTGTTTTATTTTAGTTATTTATTATTTTGAGATTGAATGATTGAATTTATTTTTCAATTGTTTTAATTCTAAGAATTTTAAATAAATAAATAAACAATAAAGAAAATTAGAATTAATTGGATGATTTAGATTTTATTAATAATTGAATTATTTGTACAAATTGTTGTTTATAATTTAAATTATGAACAATAATATACATTAATTTAAATATTACATAAAATTAAAACTATCCTATTTTCTAATATTCTTCATTCTTCACTCCGCTCCGGTGCTCCATTTTTTATCTGCGAAAAGAACAAGAAAAGTCAGAAAGCAGTTAATTAAAAGACAGTTAAAATTGCTCATCATTAGGGGCCACTAACTGGGATCAGTTGACCCTCTCTGCAAATCACGGGATTTCTCCCGGTTCACAGAGAGGGAAGATTTTTTATTCATGAATGCAAATGTCAAAAATGCATAAGTTACAAATTTCAAGCTGCATAGAAATTCAAAATCCAAAATCCAAACTAAACTGAAAAATTCAATCTCAACTTTCTATCCAAAGCAAAGGCAAGCTACTGTCAAAATGCCCAAAGTCCACTCAAAGAAAATCAAGAAAGTACTCAAAAGCTGTAAAAGAAGATTTTTTGGAAAAGATATCAAAATGCAAAGTCAGATCCAAACTGTCAAAAGAGAGATAAAGAAGATGCAGAAAATGTGTTATGCAAGCTAAACATCTTAAATTATCATTTCCCATAGTAGGCCCCTTCAGAGCAAGTACAGAATAATAACATTATAAAATTCTAAGCTGTACTTTAGGAGAGAAGAAAAAGAGATAAAGCAAGCATAGGCAGGGTTTAGGCATAGTTCAGGCATAGACAGTAGGAGCAAGACAGAAAAGATTATACAAATCCACAAGCAACTCAGTTCAGCAGCAGTTCAGAGGATATAGAAGAGAAGAAAAATATACAAAACACAATCAGACCTCATACCAAGACCATAACCTTAAAAACTGAACATCTCAAACCTGATAACGAGAACCATCAAACACAACTCTGCATAACACAAGGAGACAGAAGCCAATATAGAGAAGTAAGGTTAGAAGAAAGAAGAGAGATACAAACTCAGTTCAGCAGCAGGCAAAGAGGAGAAAAAAAAAAGATACAAAAAACTAATACCCTGTCATAACCAAAATCTATTAAACCTGAGCAGCCAAGCAAACATACAACCACTACTGTCCAGAACCACCAAACAGATAACCTGAAAATACAACCTCAAATTTCAAAGATTCAAAAGAAACCTGAGATACCAGTACCCAAAACCTGCATCAGGCCTCAACCTTCAAACACACAAAAACCTGATAAGCAAAAAACTAACACCCTGTCATAGCCTGATACCTGCCCAAACAGATAACCTGAACAACCATAATCATAAAACACATAATCCCTCAAGTTATCAAGCCAGCCATTGTAAAAGATAAGCTTAAGGCCTTTCAAAACTTCAAAGCTCCAAAAAGGGCATCAAACCTTCAAGCCCTCAGA